GTTGGGTGCTGTCATGTGACACAGTTGAACTGCCCCATAGGGTTTTCTTGGCCATGTCTTTATAGAAGCAAATCACCAGATCTTTCTCCTTTGAGTACACAATGGCAGCCAACCTTCCAGTTAGCAGCTGAGTGCTTAACCATTGTACAGCCAGGACAAAGGCACCATTTGGAGCAGTTCTGCTCTGTAATGCATGAGGTCACATGATTGGGGGGCCAACTTGACAGCAGTTAATAATAACAACATTTTTCAAACAAATTTATGTGTGATGCAAATGAATAGTTGCAAGTGAGGTATAAAGAAGTAATAAAAATACTACAAATAGAGAGTAAATATTTAGGAAAAGAGCTTTCAAGGGGAATGATAATAACATTATTTGGTAGTTCCTTAATCCATGTCATGACTGGAAGAGATCCATATTTGTGCCATTCCAAAGAAAGGTGATCCAACAGAATGTGGAAATTATTGAACAATATCAGTAATAGCACAAGTAAAATTTTGCTGCAGATAACTCAAAAACTGATGCAGCAGTATATTGACAGGGAACTGCCAGAAATTAAAGCCTGGAATTAAGCCAGAAATTAAAGAGGATGTGGAAGGGGGAATAACTTTGTTGAGGTCAGATGGACCTTGGATGAAAGCAGAAAATAACAGACAGATGTTTACCTGTGTTTTATTGAATATTTAAAGGCATTTGAGTGTGTGGATCATAAAAAATTATGGATAACATTTCAAAGAATGGGAATTTTGGAACATATCATTGTGTTCATGCAGAACCTGTACATAGACCAAGAGGTAGTCATTTGAACAGAGCAAGGGAATACTAAATAAACCCAAAACCATTGCCATGGAGTCTATTTTAGTTCACAGAGTCCCTCCATGACAGAGTAGAACTGCCTCATACAATTTCCGAGGCTGTAAAGGTTTATGGAAGCAGATTGCCTCATCTTTTTTCCTGCAGAGCAGCTGGTGGGTTCAAACTGCCTCCCTTTTTGTTTGCAGCCAGATACCTTAACCACCATGCCACCAGAACTCCTAAGGGGCTACTCAACTCTAACTCACTATCATCGAGTCAGGTCCACCTAATAGTGATCCATCCTTGGGTTTCTGAGGCAGTATCACTATGGAAGTAGATTGCCCGATCTTCCTGCTGAGGAGTGGCTGGTGGGTTAGAACCACCAGCCTCCTGGTTAGCAGTCAAATGCCTTAGGCACTACTACATGGCTTAAAATCAGGAACAATATGTATCAGGGTTATAATCTTTTACCATACTTATTGAATCTGTATTCCGAGTAAACATGTGAGAAGCTGGACTGTATGAAGAACACATCATTGAGATTGGAGGAAGACTCGTTAGTGACTTACAATATGTTGAAAACTTAGCTTTGCTTGCTGAAAGTGAAGATGACTTGAAGCACTTACTGATGAAAAGCAAAGACTATGTAGCCTTCAGTATGGATTACACCTCAACATGAAACAAAAATCTTCACAACTGGACCAATAAGAAACATCATGATAAGTAGAAAAAAGACTGAAGTTGTGAAGGATTTTGTTTTACTTGGATCCACAATGATTGCCCATGGAAGCAGCAGTGAAGAAAAAAAATGAAGATATTGCATTAGGCAAATCTGATGCAAAAGACCTCTTTACAGTTTTAAAATCAAAGATTTCACCTTGAGGACTAAGATGCACCTGACTCCAACCATGGTACAGCTGGAATGCTCCTCAGAAGGGAGAATGGCAAGACTGCATCTTATGTACTTTGGGCCTGTTACTATCAGAAGAGTCCAGTTCTCGGAGAAAGACACATGCTTGGTAAAGTAGAAGGTCAGGAAAAAAGAGGAAAACTGTAATTGAAATGAGTTGAGAGAGTGGCTGCAGCAATGGGCTCAAACAAAGCAACAACTGTGAGGATGGTACAGGAATGGGCGGGGTTCTGTTACACACAGGGATGCTATGAGTCAGGGGCCATCTACTTTTCAAAGAATTGGCCAGTGAAAACCTTATGAATAGCAGTGAAAAACTGATATATTGCTGGAAAACGTTACAAATAGCCCTGAAGAATTGTCTGATACTATGCTGGAAGATGAGACCCTCAGGGAGGAAGGCACTCAAAATAGGACTGGGGAAGACCTGCCTCCTCAAAGTAGAGTTGACCTTAATGACGTGGGTGGAGTAAAGCTTTCAGGACCTCCATTTGCTGATATGGCATGACTCAAAATGGAAAGAAACAGCTGCAAACATCCATTAATAACTGGAACATGGAATATATGAAGTATGAATGTAGGAATATTGGAAGTTGTCAAAAATGAAATGGAACACATTAAGATTAATATCCTAGTGGATGGACAGGTTGAATGATCAGGTATGTCTGTGCAGGGAGGAGTGTGTCCATGGCCATGTATAGGGGTGGCAGACAGTATTTCTACATGTGTATTTGTATGTTGTGAAGAATGTCCAGGTATATAGTAGAGCTGACAATTGACAATGTTATAGTCACTTCTTCGTCACAGCCAGCTATATCCAGAGGGAGTGAGTAGTTGCACCTGTGGGCTCGGGACCATTGTCACGGGGGGACACCAAGATCAAATGCATAGCATGCTACACAAAAACATTGTTCCACATCCTACTTTGGCCAGTAGTGACTGGGATCTCAAAAGCTTGCAAGCAGCCATCTAGACGCAAGGATGGGTCTCTCCTCATCCAGAGCAGAGAAGAATGAAGAAAATCAAAGACACATGGAAGCAATTAGTCCAAGGGACTGTAGACCATGCAATCTTCACCCTATATGACTATGAAACCAGAAGAAATAGATGGTACCAGGCTACCACTGTCAGCCACTCGGAAGGGGATCTATGTAGGACATCCTATATAGCATGGGAGAACAATGTGGAATACAACATAAAATCATTAAAAAAAAAAAAAATGGACCAGATTTCCTGGTCTGATAGAGCCTAGTGAAATTCCTGAGACTATGGCCCCTAGCTGCCCTTCAGGTCTGGAATTGAACCCACTCCTGTGGGTTCTAGCCAAATAAAAGACAGGCATATGAGCTAAACAGTTACATTAGGTAGATACACTCCTTGAAGAGATCAGTCATGGGAGAATAGATGGACTGTGTGTGCACAGGGATACAGATTGGGGGGCAGGAGTGCTTGGAAGGGAGGGACATAGGGGAGAGGTAACTATGGGGAGGAAGTGGGAAGAGAGCTGTTGCATTGTGGGACACTGTAGTCAATGTCTTGAGACAAAGTGTTGCTGTATGGAAAATGAATTTGCTCTATAAACATTGACCCAAATCACAATTATTATTATTATTTTAAGTAAAGATTAATATCCTAGGTTTTAGTAAGCTGAAGTTAACTCTTTTTGGCCATTCTGAATCAGACAACCATATTATTATCTCCTATGCCCTTAGTGACAAATTGAAGAGGAGTGGAACGGAATTCATCATCACAAAGAATGTTTCAACATCTATCCTGAACTACAGTGCTATCAGTGATAGGACAATATCTATGTACCTACAAGAAAGATCTAGTGGGGTAGTGCTTAAGGCATTTGATTGCTAACCAGAAGGCTGGAGGTTCAAACCCAGCAGCCACTCCTCTACTTCTGTAGAGATACCGCCTTGGAAACCCAAGGAGGGGTTGCTCTGATTTACAGGCAATTCAATGGCAGTGAGTTTGGTTTTTGGTTTTGGACAAGGAAGATCAATTAATTCTAGTTATTCAAATTTACACACCAAATACCAAAACCAAAGACAAGGAAATTGAAGATTTTTACCAACTTCTGCAGCCTGAAATTAACCAAACATGCAATCACGATG